TTAAGGGTTTAGGGTTTAGGGTCCAACTAGCTTTATTGGAGCCGCCTACGTGCCCGCTTTTCAGGACTCCAGGGCCTCTGTTGGAAGGGTACTTGCAGGGCGCTGGCATTCCAAAACCCGAGCAAGCCTTGGCTGTAGGGGTTACATGGGCTTGAGGGCTTAGTAGAAGCCCGTGAAGACCCAAACCATAAGTTTAGGGTTCAGGGGGCAGGTTGCATAATGAGTTTCAGAGCCCCTGAGCTGCGGGACATGTGGTATGGTGCTTGCTGTTAGACAAAGCAGGGCTGGCCATAGCCGAACCGCCGCCTAAATCCCAAGATGCCCTAGACCACTTGAAACTGGCAAGTTGAGGTTTGGAGTTTGAGGTTTGCTATGGAAGCCCAAAGAATTACCAACATTGTTGGGGTCCCTTGTTATATATCTACTATATAAACCCTATTCCAATTGTGAAGGCGCCTACATTAGGTTGCAGGATTGATTGATTGGGATCTTTTAGCCTGGAATGCCTTAACTTTCTGTAACACTGCTCGGGTTTAGGGCTTAGGGTGTTCGGGTTTGCTGTTTTAGGGGTTTAGGGTTTGCTGTTTTAAGGTTTATAAGGTTTAGGGGTTTAGGCAATAAATGCCGATTGAAAAAGAGAGTTTTGGCTTTCTGGGGTCATAGAAGCCCAGAGCTCCCTTTGTCCTCAGCTTGTTAGGCCACGATTGAAAATGCAAACCTTTAGATCCTCTCACGTAGAAACTACGTAACCCTGGAATCCAAGAACCCAGATCTAGGGCCTACGGCCTTAAAGTTTAAGAACCTGATTGACACCGTATACGCATCCCTATAAAACCCTGTCAGTATGATTTCGATTGTTTTTGATGATTACGATGAGCATGAGTACGGTCTTGGTTATGAGCATGATTAAGACGATGGTTATGAGTCTATGTTTCCCATTATGACTACTACTCAGATTATGACCACTTCTATATATAAACCCTAAAACCCCTCAACCCCTAAACACACTATTACTCAGATTATGAGCACTTCGAAACATAAAGCCCCAAACCCCTAAACACCTAAACCCTAAACCCCTAAACCCCTAAAGAGCCCCTAAACCACTAAAAGACCCCTAAACCCTAAAACCCCCAAACCCCTAAAACCCCTAAAAGGCCCCTAAGCCCCAAAAAAACCCTAAACCCCCTAAAAAAACACCCTAAAAGCCCCTAAACAACCCTAAAAAGCCCCTACACCCCTAAAATGCCCCCTAAACTCCCAAACCCCTAAACCCTAAACCCTATCTCTATATATATATATATAAATATAAACCCCCAAACCCCTAAACCCTAAACACACACGGAGAGCAACTTCAGGCGCCTGGCGCTCCTGGGGGCGGTCCTCGCAGTGGCGCGGTCCGCAGATGTTGCCGGCGTAGCCTACGCCTCCGAGCGGGGATCCTCTGAGTCAGGGTTTAGGGCTTTTTAGGGCTTTTAGGGCTTTTAGGGCTTAGGGCTTTTAGGGCTTTTAGGGCTTTTAGAGTTTAGGATTTTTAGGGTTTAGGGTTTTTAGGGTTCGGGGTTTAGGGTTTAGGGTTTCTGAGGGTTCCTTTTGAAGGGTCCTTCGAGGATTCCCTTTAAGGGAGCCCCTATAGGCCTTAAGGATTCCCTTTCAGGGGATCCATGACGGACTACCTTAAAAAGGAACCACAAGAACCCGGACATTTCGAGCTTCTTGGACTTCAGAGTTTAGGGGCGCAGCATGTGTCTGTGTCTCTCTGTGTGTCTCTGTCTGTCTCTCTGTGTGTGTGTGTGTGTGTGGGTTTGCGTTTGTGTGTCTCCATTGCGAGGCGTATGTAGAGGGCTTCAGAGTGCTGTTTGATTTTTGTGAGGGGGTTTGTGTTTTTTGGAGTGATGTCGTATGAGATCTTTAACTATTTAACACCTGAAGCCAAAAAGAACTAATCCTTATACATCAGCTAAAGTCTTTGAACTTGTAAACCCCATGCAGCCCTGCTACGAACGAGGCCTTGGGAGGCAACCTTCAGCATTGTCCTGGACGGTCGGGAGGGCGGTGACCAGGTCGGCTGAAGACAATGACACTTTGGGGCTTGGGGGGTTTCGGGTTTAGACTTGGGGGGCGGGGGGGTTAAAGTGTAAAGGTTGTGGGCTTTCGGGACGTACTAGCTCAAGTCGTCCCTGCCGGGGCGAAGTCGTCCCAGCCCCATGTGCCGCAGGGTTTGCGCTGGGGCTCAAAACCTCTAAGCCTTTTTAAGGTCTAAAGCTTTAGGAGTTATTTTGGTTTGACGGTGACTGCTCGCAGTAGATTTACATGGTTATCACGGCTTTGGGTCTTGGCTCCCGGTAAACTAGACTATACTCTAGTATACTAGACTCTAGACCCATAATGCACTGTAATATACTATATCATGCTAGTAGAACCCTGCTGGCGAGATGATCCTCGTCACATCTGAAATTTCAGAACGTACTGAAAGCACCTTTAGAGAGCCTGATCTAGCGGTTTAGGGTTTAGGGTTTACTTGCCTCCACAACTGAAACAGCTTGGGCCCTCCGCCTCTCAATAACACCAGCTAACAGCCAGAATCACCAAGTTTAGAACGACCAATACAAGAGCCAACCATTGCGGCAGCTGTCGTCGTCGTGGCTACTCCCATTATCGCCGTCATAGTCATAGTCATTGTTACAGCCGTAGACACAACCGAACAATAAAGACACAATCCATCGTCAAGGACAGAAACATCGTAAATGAACCGTAAATGCCATGATTTAAGCGCTCTCGTCGTTTTTTCTATAAGATTTCCGACCCAACCCTTGACTAACTATTCAGGCCTGGGTAGTTGTCACTGGTGTCACCACCAGCAGCAGCCGAAACCCGCAAGGGGTTTGATTAGGCTTTAGGGGATTAGACTGGGGCCAGAGTTTACGAGTTCAGTCGAGCTTAGTTTTGGATCGCCACTGCTCGCTGGGAATGCGCGTAAGAGGCCAGCTTCAGCGTCCGCGTGCATCCGGAATGGGCTCCGGAGGGAGCCAAGCGGTTCCAGGACTCCATGGGTTTAGGGTTCAAGGATTTGGGGTTCAGGAAGGGTTCAGTGAAGCTTGGGGTGTCCTCAACTTTGGGGTTGTGGCTGCAAGATAGTAGGGTTTGGGGGATATGATAGTATGAACTACGACTTTTACAAGGACCATAAGGGCACACTGTAACTACTCATTCCTAGCCCTATCGTGAGGTAAAGGGTTAAGGACCACGCAGCCCTTTGGCATGCCGGGGATTCTGATTTTCATTGCATCATCCGAGTGTGGGATGGAGCCAACAGATCGCATCACACGGGGCTTTCAGAGATTTGGGTTTAGAGTCATCGACCTAAACCCTGAAGCCCTGGGCCAAGTGCGGAGCGCATGACTGAAAATACCCAGGCGCGGAGGAGTTTCTTGACAGTCATGATGTCTGGTTCAGGTTCTGACTCTTCCATTCAACGGGCCTGCCAACCCTAAACCCTAAACCCTTCCAAGGCCTAAACTTGTCTGGGGTCATGGGCCTCTGGGTACACCCCGATCAATCAGCGAAAGGCCCCAGTTCCTCAAGTCCAGACCCAAACGCTCTGAACCCTAAATACAGGGCTTAGGGTTTAGGGAAGCCTGCACCTGAAACCACTCAGAGTCCTGTGGGCACGCACGACGATGGAGGACAAATTGCCCAGTGGCAGAGGAGGCATGGCCAGCCCGTTGTCGACAGCTTTTGACTGTGCTCGCTGCGGCTGTCCATTCACGATGCCTTGGAAAAAGCTCCGCGACTTCTGGAGCAGAGAGCCGTTCTCTTCGTCCCAGATGGAGACAGAAGTGCGATCTCCTTGCAGTCTTAGAAGCGAAGGCTATCTCAAGGCCGCCGCCGTGTGCCAGCTGATATCCAAGACCTCGGAGTTTAGAGCCGAAGAGTACAAGGCGTTCGAGGCCCAGAGTGTGACCAAGTTGCAGACCAGGATGGCAGGCATGTACGATCATCCTGTAAAGGAGATGCGTTTTATAGTATGCTCCTGGCCCTAAACAGGATATGGTCCTAGTCCTAGTCCAAGACCATCCAAGACGTATAGGCCTTACACTAGGACATGGTCTCGCATTACTCCGCAGCGAAGTCGGGCCTTTGCAGACGCCACAGAAACCCCCAAAAGGGGTCTGGAAAATTATGGAAAATTGCTAGTCGGTCCTGGCAACCACTTTTACATAGGTCCTATGTAACTGCATGGGAATATGCCCCAGGACCCGACTGAGAACTGTTTAGGTTGCAACTACTGCGGTGGTAAGTGTAGCGCATCTGAAGCCCAAACCCTGCTCTCCTAAACCCCTTTTGTCTCGGCCCTAAACCCCTAAACCCTAAACACCTACATAATCTAAACCCCTAAACCCTAAATGAGCACACCGCAGCTTGAGCTTCGCTTTAGCTGGGGCTGGCTTCTTCTGTGCATTTCCAACTGTTCATTCGGGCCCTTCAGTTTCTTAGTGATCCTATACTACTCCTAGTAAACCCTATTAGGACATGGTCCAGAGCGGCGAAGTGTTGACGGGCGCGCGCTTCTTCCGTGCCGGGCTCCCAGTAGCAACGCGAAAAGAGCTCCAGCTTAGGGTTTAGGACTTATGGTTTCGGCTTTAGGGTTTACATAGGGGTTTAGATAGGGTTTAGGGTTTAGGGCTTAGGGTCAGGGGCAGGATCAGGGCCCAGGACAGTCGCGCTGCGTGCCGAGCCACTGGCGAGAGAACTTTAAAGTTGTTTTGGATGTCTGGTCTGCGATAGAAAGTTTGAGTTTTTTTGAGCCTGGGTATTGGCGAAGAGAGGTATTGAACAAATAAGGATCGAAGCACCAAGAAAAAGTGGAAGACGCCAGAAAGCCCTAAAAGAACCCTGGAAGGCCTAAGAAACTAGAGAAGGCGACCCAAAAAGAGCCGAAAACACCCCCAAGCCCTGCCGGCTTTGGCTTAGGTGGTTGCTCAGACTTGAGGCAGGGGATGTAGTAAGTGGCGTATACGTCGAGCTACAGGGTTTGAGGGGTTTAAGGGTTCAGGGTTCCAGGGTTTTGGACTTAACATAAGCCCCTGATAAACCACCCGTTCCCCAAGGCCCGAACATCGGGACCCAGTTTAATATTCCTGACGAAGTGAGAGGGGTTGCTTCGTGCGGCTCAGGTCTGCTTGGGCGATGCATCCCCTTTTGTTGGTTATCCATACCCTAACCCTAAATCCTAAACCCTAAGCCCTAAACCCGAAACCCTAAACCCTCCCTCACATAACCCGACTCTCTTGTGCCCCGAACAGGTGGCAGGTGGTGCCGAGTTTCACACGAACCCCACGTCTGAAATCCATAAAACCCATAAGCCACGGAGGAACCCTGGTAGAGCTCTTGTAGAACCATGGGTGGCTATAGGACCCTTGGCCTTTGAAGAACCGCAGATGGTGGCCTCAACCCTAAACCCTTCGACCCTAATCCTTGAAGAGCCCTACTATAGAAGCCCAAATATTCACCCATATTATGCCTTTGAACTCCTTATCGTAATGATACTGCAAAGTTGCCCAACACCCCATTCTACGTATTTAGACCCCTACATCCCTTAAACCCTAAACCCCTAAACCCTAAACCCTCAACCCTCAACCCTACATCAGGTGGTGCCGAATTTCATGGTGCAGTTCGGCATCCCCGGGAACCCAGAGGCTCGATTTTGTTTCGGACCCCAGCTTCTCCGGGGTTTAGGGTTTAGGGTTCTTGGAGTGTGCAGAGGGACCCTATAAACCTACCTTGTTAGGTTTCCTTGTTTATGATTTCTGTATATGAATCTGGAAAAAATGTAAGTTATTTTGGGATTAAGGTAGGGTTTAGGGTATGTAAGGGTTCTAGGTTTTAGGGTTTAGGGTGCCTCTGGGTGTACCTACGATATGACGGATTCCCAGATTCCTATGACCATCCGCATGGCTCGCGTCACTGGAGGTTAACTGAAACTTGTCTTGGAGTCGTTGTATAAGTTGCCAGAATATAGATTTAGTGTGTGGGGTGGGGGGGTCGGATTTGGGGTGGTTTAGTGTTTAGGGTTCATGTCGGGCTTGTTGTTGGTGGAAGGTTGGGCTTCTGTTTGGGAGTGTCTGTTCAAGCCAAAGCCCCTAAACCCCTAATTTAAACCCTAAACCCCTAAACCCCTTAAACCCTAAAGCCTAAGCGGGGGAGAGGCCTGCAGAAAAGACAGCGCAGGTTGGATTTCAGCCAGAAGCCCGAGCATAGGGACTTCCTGCACCCAATGGGTTTAGGGTTTGGTATAGAGGCTTTGTTTTGGGTTTGGGGTATAGATGTTAGCGTTTAGGGTTAAGGGTTTCAGGCTGAGTGTTTGGGGTTTAGGGCTTAGGATTTAGGCTTAAGGGTTCCTGAATCCCTTCATTTGCCTCTTTCAATGATAAACGTATCCTTCTGCAGTCGGGGGTAGCCCTAATTCGGATCGAATCATCTTCCGATTTACAGTGCCTGAACAGATACTTGTTCCCAAGTCCCTTGATGATGCAATGAGAGGCTTAGTTTGGAGTTTGGTTGGTCGGTGAGTTGCAGCATTGCGGAGGAGTCCCTGCGCTTGCCTTAGGGCCTTCGGGCTCAGGAAGCGGCAAACCCAAAGCCTAACTTAGTGCTGCAACATCACATCGGCTCAACACCATACCCCGCCCACGTCCGCTCACCGCTTCCGCGACCACGTTGAGAACATGACGGAGGTCTCACCAATCGATTAGAGATACATGTGGCACTGATGAATGAGCAGCAGCTGACTGGCCTAGGCCTAGTCTTCCTTTTCACCAGTGCCACTGTCTTGACACGTTACCCTGAACCACCTCCCGAGGCCCAGGGGCCCCAAATTCTCGGCCTAAGCACGATTAAAACAACGAAAGACCCCAACTAAGAAACCCCTGGCGCAAAATCACATCTAAACCTTTGTCAACCCTAAACGGCCCCGATGCCCATAGCTGGTTCCTGCGGAGAGGTTGCCAGCACCTGGCGCAGCAAGACCATCCCGGATGATAAGGCACGGGGGTTGTTTACGGTTTAGGGGGATATTTGTTTAGGGGTTTGGGGGTTCAGGGTTTGGAAGCATCCTTCTTTCGGGATGTAAGGGCCCTTACTGTGTATGTGTGTGTACATATACATATATATATATATATGTATACATACATACATACATACATACATACATACATACATACACACGTGTTTATTTTTTATATAGTTATCTTCTGTATTTACTTATGTGTATGTATATATAGATACATGTATATGTACACGTATATTTATTTGTATGTACATATATATATATATCAAGGTGATAAGGCGTCCAGGAATGCCTGCCAAGCGGCTCAAAGCTTCTGCAGGTTTCGGTTGTAATCGGTCCCATCTGAGACTGCACGGGTTCTCCTTAAAGGAACCCTCATAAGGTCCTTGCAGATCTCTTCAGAGAGCCCTTAGAAGGGGTCCTTTACGGGTTCCTTTCAAGGGCTCCTGCAAAGGGCTCGTTTGCTCAGCGGATTTCGACGCAGAGTTGGGGGGCCGGAAGCATGGCTCTTCCTAAAACCCCACACCCTAAATTTAGGGTTTAGGGTTTAGGGTTTAGGAAGCCTGAATCGTAGGGCGGACGAGTGGAGCGTTAGGCGGAAGCTGAGCTTTGGATCAGCAGCCTCAGCAGCAGGTCGTGGAAAAAATCGGTTTGGAGCTTAGGGCTTTAGGGTTAAGGGTTTTGGGCTTGCTTACAGGCTCCACTGTATATAGTTCCTTTTTTGGTTTACCAGTTTGACATTATAGGGCCCTAGCCACAAACCTGGCGGTTCGGAGTAGGGTTTGGGGTGACCGCCTTGTAGAAAAGTTTGCGCTCATCAGAAGGGTAGGTTGGCCTTATGCTTGAGCCACGAATATAGATAGTATAGAAGCCTGAATGATTGTGATTTGTTCTTTCCATAAAATAGTCGTTATATATATATATACACATACATACATACATACATACATACATACCTACATACCTACATACCTACATACATACATACCTACATACCTACATACCTACATACATACCTACAATGGCTCTACTCGGCCCATTCAGGCCCATATGAGTCCCACTTCGCTTGGCGTTCTCCGGCCCTGGAACTGATGAGCCAAGCCTGCAGCTACCAAACCGGTGGGAGAGATGGGGCTTAGGTTTAGGGCTTAGGGCTTAGGGTTTAGGGTTTAGGGCTTATACGGTTTAGGGTTTAGGGTTTAGGGACAACATGAGATCCACTATGGCCGAAGGTTCAGGCGAGGGGACTGTGCCTACGGTTCCGGGTGAGCCGGAGGCCAAACAGCCGTTTTTCAAGGAGGCGGAAGCTGGCTGCTTCGTCCCTGAAAGAAACCAGCCGCCCTCTGCCAAGCCTATGGCATCGACGATCACTTAAATACCTCTGTGACCAGTGCTGGCTGTCAAGCAGAACCCCAAGTCGCGGCCATGAGGGAAATCAGCACGAAGGTCAAGCAGATGGCTGACGCAGAGCAGCCGAACCCTGCTAGGTACCCTAAACCCTAAACCCTAAAAGTCTACTGCTCGCAGCAGGCAGCCCAAATGCACGGACCCTCTCAGATGTCCTTATCTGTCCAGGATTGGATCCTCAGCTGGTTTACTGCTCTCTTTGTGTCTTGTGGCCAGATTTGCAGCGGGAGTCCTTCCTTGCAGAGAAAAAATCCCCTCAACCTTAAGCCCCCCCCCATCCTACGCCCCAAAACCGCTACTCCAACTGCTTAAGGCAGATATCGGATATGCAACTCCACATGCTGCTTGAAGACTAAAAGGGGACTTAGTACATCGGCTGTACTGGTGTCTCGGGCCGTGACAACCCAAGCAAAGCACTAGCGCTTTGGTGCGCCTCTACACGTCGCTAAGTCTAGCTTGTGCAGAGCCGTGATCCTTGAAGACGTATAATGGCCATTAGGACTCATGACTTTAAAACCCTATAAGCCCTAAACCCCCGAGACGCTAAATCACAAACACCCCCAAACCCTACGCCCTATAGGCCCTACGCCCCACGCCCCTAAACCCCAAGCATCCCTAGCCTCTACCTGTATCCCCAAACCCTACAAAATAGTAGGGTATCAGTATGACCCCTTATAACCCCTAAAACAGTAGGTTATTGGATCCCCAGGTAAGCCCTAAACTAAGAAACCGTAGGCTTCAGAGCAGCACGGGAGGTGAAGGAGAGCAACAAGCGCGGCTACATGACCTTCGCGACTGCCGGCCCGAACACCCGCACCACCCAGCTCTTCATCAACACCGCTGCCCCTGGGATTACGGATACCTTAACCCTCCAGGTACTTACTATAGAAGGTACTCGAGCCCCTATAGGGCCCTATATAGTAGGTACCTGGAGCGTTAGGGATAAGCTTGGTTTAGGCTTCGAGGTCTGAGGGTGATAGAGTATGGTATGTTATAGCAGATGAAGGCAAAACATATAGCTTGAGTTTAAGAGATCGGCTTTTTAAGGTATAGGTGCAATAGGGTTTAGGGCTTGCGTGCACGAATCTTCAGAGCACGTCTGGGACTGAACATGGGCTCCCCTGCCTTCATGTGCTCTTTCTAGGCTTCCTTCTTTTTTTTTATGATTTTTTTTAATGAGGTATAGGAGTCCCCGGCGGGTTCCCCAAACCCTAATCCCTAAACCCTAAAAAGTTCCTTTTATGGGCTTCCAAATGAGAAAAAGGAGTCCCCGGCTTGGCGCCCGAAGGTTTTTGGGAATCGGCCTTGGGCTTCGGGTCTAGAGCTCGGTGTCAACGTGCCATGGGGTTTAGGGGGGTTTAGGGGGTTTAGGGTTGAGGGTTTAGGGTTGAGGGTTTAGGGTTTAGGGTTTAGCGTTGAGGGCTTGGGGTTTAGGGTTGGTGGTTGAGGGTTTAGGGTTTTGGGTTTGGGGTTGAGGGTTTTGGGTTTTGGG